ACGCTAAATCCATCAGGCACCAAAAGTGATCCCGGCGGATTCCCCAGCTCTCACTGCATTTCATTCCAGAAAACCAGCCTCTCCTGTGTCCGCGACGGCAATGACTTTGTACCAAACGTCATGCAGAACTGACACCTTGCCCAGCCGGGAAGGGACTCCACCTGCCTGTGTAACACGCCGTTCTTGTCAAAACATGTGACTTAAAGCATCCGGCCTGGAACATGCTATGGGACAACTGGCCGGCTGCCTCGTAATGTCAGCGACACGGAAGAGAGAGTGTGCATCCGTGAGACTGCTCGGGATGAGGGGGCTGGAGGAACATGACAATCACATGCAGCAGGTAATCCTGAGCCGGGTCCTGGTCGTCTGCAAAGGAGCAAGACCATCCCCAGTCGGTGTGGCTCAGCGGGTAGGGCGTCGGCCTGCGGACTGAAGGGTGCCGGGTTTGATTCCAGCCAAGGGCACATGCCCAGGTTGCGGACTAGATCCCCAGTAGGGAGCTTGCAGGAGGCAGCCGATCAATGACTCTCATCATTGATGTTTCTATCTCTCTCTCCCTTTCTCTCTGAAATCAATAAATATATATTAAAAAACAAAGGAACAAGACCAGCAATGAAGGCGAATAGGAAGACCCCCAGGGAAACAGGAAGGGGGACTGCGGGTGAGATGTCAGCATGCTGAGTTTAGGGGATGCGTTCGCGGTATTGGGGCCGCGTGGGAAATGCCCTAGTTCTGAGGAGAAACATCCTGAAGTATGTAGACTGAAGTGCAGGGATATACACAAGTACCTTCAAATGTATGTGTGTGCGTGCATGTGTGTGCATGGGTGTGTGGGTGTGTGTGCATGGGTGTGTGTATGCATTTGCATGTGTGTGTGCCCACGCACCTGCGCGCCTAGGGAGGGGGAGGCGAGGGAGAGAGAGAAAAGGAGAATCAGAGTGGGGGAGACTAGACACAGACAACGGTGTGGTGAGGCCTGGGAGGAGGGGGCTGAGGGGGGAAATGGGGGAACATCTGGAATACCGTCAGCAATAAATAAATACATATATTTAAATAAATATTTTTAAAAGGGTGGGAGAGACTCAAATGTGGCAAACTGAGGCGTTCATGTGTTCATTGCGTGACTGAACTATTCTAGAGCTCTGAACTTTTTCAAGATAAGAAGTACATGGATGTGCATCTACATGTGTATCTACATGCCACACGTCAGGACAAGCTGCACACACACGTGCATCTGGTGTGAGAACGGGCGCCGCCTTCTCGGGTAGGAAGTGCTTTTCCCTGAAAAGACCTGAGAAGCCCCTCTCACCGCTCGCAGTGGGGAGCGGACCCCCAGCGCAGCCGCCGTTGTGAGTCCCTGAGCCACAGGTAGACGGGAAGTTGTTCCCAGTGGTGACTCCCACTGTGGCTGTAAGTCTCCGAAGGGGTGGGAGCTGTGCGCCTGCGGGGTCTCGCTCACCTTCAGCTCAGAGCCCTTCGCGTGCGAGTGCACGTTTGGGAGGCTGTCCTGCCCCTGAGAGCACAGGCCCTGGGAGGCGAGGACCAACTCGGGTGTGGGCTGGGGGCGGGTAACAGACCGCAGTTCCGAAGCGATGGCGATGGTGGCGTCTAAGAGCCGGATGTAGGACGGGTAGGTGGCTGGCAGCCAGCACATCGGAGGCAGAGACCAGGAAGCGGAGGGTGTGAGGATGGAGGACCGGCCCGAGGAGACAGCCTGGAAGGGGGCCGGGCACAGCTAAAGCCACTGGCACCTGGGGCCTGAGAGGAAGGAATGCTCCCGCCTCCGGGGGAGGAATGCCGGATGCAGGTGGGAGTGCCCTGGGATGCGCCCCCCCCCCCCGGGTGCCCC